ACACACACACACACACACTAAGCTATGATGTGTTCCAGCTGTGTCAAACTAACACCTTTGCCTCCTGGCGTCTGACACTCTGTCCAACGTGGACCTTCAGGGTTCCTTCGTCTGACTCCAGGACGACGTCCAGCTCGTGCAGCAGCAGAAACGCTGAGCTGCTGTTTGGTGGCAGCGTCTGCACTGAGATGATGAACCTGAACCTGTTGTGTGGTCATTACTGTCCTGTTCCGCCTGATGTCTGATTCACCAGAACACTTCTAGCTCAGTTTAAAAGACCCACGTGTCCAAACGGTTAGCCTCCTGCTCAGAGTGATGGGAGCAGAAGTTATAGAGAACGTGGGATGATCACGCTCTGGAGCTGAGTCTGAAGGAATGCGAGTGGAACTGCTGCCATCTGTGGATCTGCTTCAAGGAGCATTTTTGGCCTTGAGTTCAACATCAGTGAACTGTGACATGAGTTTAATGTCTCCTGGTGACCTCTGGGGGAATGGAGGCCAATATGGAGGCAGCTACCGCGGCCTCATAGCCGAGTGTCGCCCTGTACAGCTAGAGCACAGGCACACAGCTTTAAGTCAACCCTGTCATGTTTAGGCCCATTAGAACCTGAGCTAACTGCTAACCGCCAGTTAGCGAGCACGTTTGCGTTTTGTCCTTTTTATTGAGTGAAGCGATGAACTGAAAACAGAAGCGCCGGCTGGAGGCCCACTGCAGCCGCTGTGACCGGTTAGCGTTAGCGTGTTGCTAGCTGGCCAGCTATGCTAGCTCATCTGCCAGTTTAATCAGGCCATTATGAAGCACATTTGACGAACTACACGTTTAAAAGCACAAAGCCTCCAGACTCAAACAGTATTCAGCATTTTCAGATACTAACAGCAGCAGCAGCTCCTACTTTGAATCAGAGTACGAACACAGCCAGCGGCAGCTTCTCCACTTGTCTGTCGTCTACAGTCGGATCATATCTTCGCCTTCAGAGCCCAGTGAACAAAATGTTTGCAAGTTTTTAGTCTTTTTTTGTATAAAGGGGGTGAATGTTAGGGCATTTAAGTGCTGGACAATAAAAATGAACTTTGGGGCGATGTTTGGATGCTTTAATTCCACTTTTGGACATCTGCACTGTGATTCTGACTCGTCATAGAGGATCTTACAATCCCTTCCTGTTTGGAAGATCTTATACAACCCACTTCGGTCACAGCGACACTGTTGGTAGTTTTATTTCTGGATGGTCAGATGTCGCTGTCCAGTGCTGCAGCAGCAGCCTGACAACCACAGCAGGTGGAGGTACGTCACTATCGGCTGTTCAGCCTAAACATCTGTGGAGGATGAATAATTCTATCAGCAGTGGCTGAAGTTCATTGTCCCTCTGCTGTTTCCAAGTGGAGTTAAAGCTAAGCTGGAAAAATACCTTTTATGTTGACAGTGTGACATTCTCCAGCTTCTGAGGAACAACCTGTACCTGCTGTCCGACAGCAGCTTGTTAACCATCAGTACACGTCACAGAACCAAACGCTGTACGACAGTCAGCAGATCTTAAAGCCAGATTCTGAGCAGCGACATTGTCTTCAGAGAGCTCACAGTGTTCTGGTGAATCCGACCCACAGGTTTGCTCCATGAACATGACTGTGTTTGCTACCTGAGGAGGTGAAGGTGTTACCTGGTGTCTGAAGGCCCGCCCCTCATGCTCCGCCCCGTGACGCTGGACAGTGTCCTCCTCCTCCTCCAGCTGGTTAACTGTGCCCTCTGTTCTGGCTTTGTAGGCTAACACAGGAACAGGAAGGGTTTTGTCCCGCTCAGGATTTGTTGTAAGCCGTCAGGTTTTCCGGGAGCTCAGAACTATGGTGAGCTCTGACTGACTTCATCAGATCAAAACTGGAATGATGCAAACCCAGCTTCTGGCCGAGCACCCCTCCCCCCTCCCCCCCACCCAGAGTCAGATTAGTAGACTTGTAGGTGAAGAAGAGAAGAAGAAGACCAGACGGAGGTTTGACTGTAGTGAGAGTTTCACTCTGATGTGCTGCTGAGACGCTTTAACGCAGCAGAACGCGCTGCTGCTGCTGCTGCTGCTGCTGCTGCTGCTGGACCACACAGCTTCTGTCTGCACACCACAGCACTGATTACCTGCACAGGTGTTACCTGCAGTATCACAACAGGAATAACACACAGCTAGTACAGTGTCATACAACAATATAGGAATACTGCATGGTACCACGTACTGTAGGAGGATTTAGTTTATTATAATACAGCGCTACGTGAACCCTTACTGACCAAAAACATGAATCCTAATCCAACTGGACCAGAACATGAAGCCCTGCTGTAGGCTCTGGTACCACCCTGTCACGGCCTCAGAACACCACAGTCACTGCTGTGGTGCACTTAGCTCTACGTTGTATGTAATACTGAATGTACCATGTAGTTTGTATTTTGTTCTCTTTACAGTTACCGTAGTACACACTAGTTTACCGTTCTGACCTGTACTAGAAGATGTTACAGTGTAGTACTACGTGTACTGTAGTACTATCTGTACATTGAACTCTGCACTGTGTGGATATAGATTATACTATGTGAGCCTGTAGCATATCATCTGTTACATGAACTCAACTGTACGCTGCTGTATCCATGTAGAACATCGTTTATAATCCTGTGTAGTGTACTTTATAGTAGCTAAACACTAGAGCAGAGCCTACTGAACCTCCTGCCACCCGCCCTTATCCAACTACACGCCTCACTGGTTCATATTATGCTTCAGCCTATAACTGGCATTTACTGCTTTTGCTCAGACGTTACAGAGGTTTATGTTTCTCGACTATGTGCCTTTATTGTATGACATGATGGTCGTGGTTCTTCTCTGTGGTGGCTGTCGTGTCACGCTCTGGCGCTGTGTTCCAGGAACCGTGTGGTCCCGCCTCCTGCAGTGATGGCGGCTCAGCAGCGCGTTGAGGCCTGCAGCAGGCTTCGCTACGTCTCCAGTGTTACAGCGACTCCCAGCTGCTGATGCTGCTGCAGCTGGTAAACACAAGTGTAACACTGCAGATGCAGAGAAGCCTCCTCCCCTCCTTCCCAGTCCGTCCAGTCCTCCATCAGAGCTGGTCTGACTGGAAACAGCGGACACTCCATATTATCTGCAGTCCGCCCGAGCTCTGCATGCACTGATGACGGCCCGTGGCATTGCATGCAGAACAGCATGGTTTGGGGACTGACATGCATCACTTTGAACTTCAAGTTTTCCCCACAAACCCACTGACAGCTGATAACCATTCATGGCAGATGTGTTGCATCAGAGCAGAGTACCAGCAGCTCAGGTTGGTCGACCGCAGAGCGCTGAGGTGATGGCTTAGTGTTAGACAGGGATGCTCAGACCTGCTGATGTGAGCGTTTCAGTGCTTACCAGGCCGACCATGTCCTCCACCAGCTAGTGCTAATGAACAGTGGTTATGCTTGTGTAGACTGATTAGTTCTTCCAGTGCTCTGTTCCCTTGCAAATACAACTTTTAACCCAGTTCCAACCAGTTATTTGCAGGAGTGTTTGCAATGATCCAAAAATGGCCACCGTAAAAAAAGCTTTTCAGATTGAAGCAGTTGATGTGAGTTCAGCAGCACCACTGTGACACTGAGCTCAACAGAACAGATGTGTTCAGATGTGAGTCCACTCCCAGGCTGTTTGTCCCCAACAAGCTCCTCTAACTGTCAGAAAGCAGGTTCTAACCCAGACTCATCCAGCTCATTGTCAGACACTTGATCTAACGTCTTGGTCCACAGAGGTTGTTGGGAGCTGTGCTCAACTTGGGAGTGCACGCCACCTGCCAGGCCTAGTTCAAGATCCCAAGTTTAACGTCACGGCTGGTTTCTTTGACCAAACAAGCCTTTGGACCAAATAACAAATCAAGTTATTTGTCATTGCATTTGAAATGACTCTGGCGCCCCCGTCAGGAAGAACCATCAGCACTAACTTTTGTTCCACTGGAAGGGCTGGGTATCTCCTGCTGGTCCAGCACCACAACTCTCCTCTGTTGTGTTTTTAGCCAAACCCCACCTGCATATTTGGAAATTGTTCAGAAATCTGAGAGCAGCTTTCAGTGCTGTAGTTTTCAGGAGGATGCTGTTGAAGCTGGACACCCAGCCCTGGTCAGCATCAGCACTTCTTTATCTGTATGTTTCATGTTGACTTTTAGTGTTCAGTAAGTTGAACATTTTGAGAAATCCTCCAGCTGAGACTCAGGTTTTCAGACGCCACTCTCATGTCTGTCGAGTCACTGTGGAGCTTCGTTATCAGAACTTCAAGACTGGAAACTGGGGCAACTATGAGCCCGGCTCCCTGTAAAGGTCAAATAATCCAAAACTCAAACTCACCAAGTTCTATGTTGTTTATTCGATCAGTACAAAAACAGAAAAGTGTAATTTTACAGAATGGTTTGTGACGGGGGCAGAACCCAAGCACGGCACCGACATGCTTGGATTAAACAAAAAGATATCACATGTCATTGGAGACCAAGCAGGAGATGTTTGTAGGTGGATTTTGTGACCTTGGGGCGGAGTACGGCGGCCCGGTTCCCCCTGTTTCCAGTCCTGATTCTCAACTCAGCCAAAGGGCTTGACTGGAGAATATGTGACTCACGGCAGGAAAGGGAAGAGGTCCGTTCCTCAGAATGGTAGAAAATCTCCCCTAAGCTTCAGTCTTCAACCCAGTTTGTGGAATAGTCTCTTCTGGTTTGCGTCTGCATTGTGTTGCTGTGCCGTGTCCCTGGTTGTTAGTCCAGATGGTTGATTGAATCCAGCCTGTTCTGACCTCCGGCGGTCCGCTCCGTTCGATGGCTGCCGAGCCGTCGCAGCAACAAACCTGCAGCTGCAGTCAGGAGCTGCAGACATGATATTTGCTCCAGTTACTGCAAATACCATCACTCTCCCCCACCTCAACCCCAACTGCAACCCACCCCCCCGGCCTGTAGCCTGATCCAGCTGAAGAATGGCTTCTAATGGCAGCCAGCCGTACCTAATGCCTGTTGTTAGGACTGGGAGCACCACCACAGTCCTCATCATGCACTAACTCTTCTGTCTTGCTTTTACTCCCTCCTTTCTTACTTCCTTTCCTTCTCTCCTTCCCCTCCTCGCAGATAAATGGCTCTTTTAAGCTGGGAGCTGCTCGTGTTCTGTCTAGCTGGCAGATGCAGTGCCTAGTCCCCGGCCTCCAGGACAACGCCAACATGAACGGGACGTCCGAGCAGGCCGACATCCTACCGTCAAACTGCATGGTCAAGGACCGATGGAAAGTGGTGAGTCGGGAAACCTCCCCGATGTTTGCAGCTTCTCTGATGGGAGGCGCTTAAACCAGCAGGAGGAGCTGCAGGAGGAGTGCACCCATACGTGTTTTACTGTCTGCTTCAGCTTTAAATGAACACAAACACTGAAGGTGGAAAGCAGTCATAGACTCACGTCAACAGTACTTCAGAGCATATCTGAGTACTGCTGTGGTGTCCTTCAGAGGTTACGTAATGCAGCTGCTGCCTCAGCCAATCAGCACGCAGCGTGGGGCCTGCAGGCTGTTTGCACTTCACTGATCAATGTACTGACTCCAGTAAAACACCGAGGTCCAGCGCGCCATCTACGAAAAGAGAGGAGATGACATAAAGGAGAAAGCTTGAGCAGTATAAGAATAAGGGACAAATAAAGAATCCAAAGGATGCAGGAAGAACGAGGAGGAGAAGTGACGCCTCTGTTAGTGTCGGCTGCTTGAAGCCGGTGATGTTTACATGATGGATGAATTCTGTGACTGCAGGAGTGAAAGAAAACAAACAGGAAAAAAGAAAAGGCAGCAAAGAGTAGGGACAGTGAAGCAGGAGAGAAGAAGTGTCCAGAGATGAGAAGATGGTTGGTTCAGCAGAATAAAGGAGAACAATGAAGAGTAATTACAGAACATTTTTGCAGCTGCATGTATACAGATGAGCTGACTTGTTGTTGAGGTGAGTGTGTTGTTGGTGTTGCTGTGATGACGCTCTCGTAGCGTCCAGAGAAAACTCTGGATGATAACTAAGGTCTCTCTGTCCTGCTCCTTGTGTCCCAGCTGAAGAAGATTGGCGGTGGTGGGTTCGGGGAGATCTACGAGGCCTTGGACCTGCTGACGCGGGAGAACGTGGCGCTGAAGGTGGAGTCGGCCCAACAGCCCAAACAGGTGCTGAAGATGGAGGTGGCGGTGCTGAAGAAGCTGCAGGGTGAGAGTTGTCAGCACGCTGTTCAGCATTTCACGGACTCCACATGATGTCCTCAGTGATAGATGTTCCTGTCCAGCCTTAGAGCACACATATCCAGGCTCTCAGGTCAATCACCTCCTCTCTGATGTCCTCGGCCAGCAGACTACTGTCTGTGTACACATTGGTTCAGTTTGCTTCGTCGCTCATGGTTCTGATGGTACCTGTTTGGACTCAGTCTCCTTGTCGCGGTGTTCACCCAACAACTTTCCCAAACTGGGAGAAAAACAATGGCGTAGTCGTCAGCTGTGGTGCTTAACTTTATTTTCAAGCCTCTCCAAAGTGCAGCAGTGAAACAGAATATTTACAAAGTGCAAAAGAAAGAAAAGAAAAACTATGTACACACAAGTTCTCCTTTAACGCTAGCTCTCAAAAATTCACCGACCAACACTACCAATACCGCCAAACTCCAGCTACTCCCACCCCTCAGTCAGGCCCAGAGCCCTCGGTTTAAAGGCCAAGCCCCTCCCACTGGGCGGAGCCTTTGACCGGCAATAATACAAAAATTACATGAACATGGTTTCCTATTCTAACAGTTTCACCCCAGTTCACCCCTGCTATGGGCAACACAAAATGATTAGCCAGGGGACAGGGCTAGGGTCTCCCACAATACCCCATCGTTAATCCCAGGAATAACCTTTAAAGAGAAAATAATGAAATAGTGCAAGTCATGTGACTGGCAAACCGCGTGGGCCCATACCATTTCAGCCGGCTGGTGGTATGCCCCGGGTTTGCCCGTCACCATGTTGGCGCATTCCAGGTGAGTGCGAGTGTGTGTGAGTGTGTGTGTGCGGGTATGGACAAGAGAGAGAGAGAGTATCGCTGCAAGTGTGCACCCTTGGTCACGATGCTACCGGAAGGGAGTGAACTAGGATGATGTGCGAGTGCAGCTTATTGTAAAGTTTGTAAATGGGTGTGCGTATGTGTGTGTCGTGTGTGTGTGTGCTACATCAGCATACCGGCCCGCTAGTGACGGCGTCGCTCCGTCACACTCCCCAACACATCATAAACACACGTCTCTGTGGTGAGATGCACGTTTTAACTTCATATAAAGGCTGGTTCTGAAGAAACAGGATTCGGCGTGCATGGCTCATGACGACTGTAATAAGAGCTAAGCGTACAGGGAGAGAAGCCACCCTGAGATCAGCTCAGGGGCGAAGCCGTGAGGCTTCCATGTTGGCATTAATGTCAACACCACGTCACGTTAGCATGCTCATGCTGATGCTACTGAGCTGGAGCTCTGCTTTACAACGAAGAAACGGTCACTTAGAACCTCACTGACATGAACAACTGGAGGTCTATGAATACAGACATGTGACAGACACACTGCCCATAAGCGACCAGCTCCCTGAGATGTGACATACATTTGCAGTAAGAAGCTCAAAGCATGCAGGTGAACAACACAACCTGCCATATCGCTTGTTGTCCTGACCTACATTTAAAGAAACAGGTGCTTGAATACAACAGCTTTAATACAAAGTGGTGAATGTGCAGGCTGTTCCAAAGGAGCTTCTTTCTTTGTAATTCAACTCTTTACAGTTTACAGGATTTGTGGGTGCTGTAGTAAAAGTTCTTGCTGCTCTGTGGCTCTGTTTGGAGAACTAACAGAGTTTCTGTGTAGCTTCATCCAGCTCATGGTCAGAGAGCGCTGCAGTAGAAGGCGGCTGGATTACAACCATCTGGTTCTTGAACACACATTCTGTTTAACCCGTTTGCTTTTCCTGTTGTTAACTAGGCCCGTTTCATACCAGCACCAACCTAACTAATGCGGTCTGGTCTGGTTTCAGATGTTACAGGAGGCTCAGGAACAAAATCAGACTGTCACATATTGAGTTTCATGCTAAAGATGAACAGTCATGACGATTGTGTAACAGGATTATGTCACAGCTGAACTGAAGCAGCGATGGCGTCACGTGCTCGTGTCAGGGCGGCATGTGATCGCTCGCTTTAACCGTGATCAGAGCAGCTTCCTCTGAGTCACAGCATCTCTGCTTTCCAGCTGATGACCACCATCAGCTGACTGATGGACCGCTTACGGGCCAGCAGTCACTCCGTCACCTCCTCCACATGGCGTTCACAGGAGAAGGTTTTCAGCACACGTGACGTCCCACTGAAAGGGGAATGTTCATTCCCAGTGCTCTGTTCCATCATGCTGGTCAGTAGTGCCGTTGTGGCATATGTAGATTTATTGTGAACTAAAAACTGAACCCCAACAGCTTTGATTATTTTACTGATATGTATAATACAAAGATGCATTCCTAGTTGTTCGTGTGGTAAAACTCTAACGGATTCTGTCACGTTCTGCCACAACATCCCTTTTGAACAAGAACTATATCACAGCGGCAGCATTTTATTTCATTTGCCTTTTATTTTCAGGGTAGTTTGCCTGAACAGAGCTGCTCTGTTGCAGCAACAGTTGCTGTAAAAAGTTTAGAAGAATGATTTAAAAAGTAATAATAATAACGAAAGCTGCAAGCAGCGTTGGTCGTGTCCTCGCCGTACGATTGTCGGCTTTCGCACACGTTGAGGTTTGGCAGAAACGTGCTCTGGGCGGGACTCCGATCCGACGTGTCAGGTTTCAGGCAGATCAGAGCATGTGCGGCCTGGTTATACGCCACTTCCTGTTTAATGGCGAGCCGAGGCGGCGTGTGTGTCAGGCTGTAGTGGCAACGCACTCGGATTCGAAACACGCTTGTAAAGTTTCAGGCAGATTGGAGCACATACAGGCCAGTTACACAGCACGTCCCATTTATGGCGTGTTCTACAGGCCGCCATTTTGACCTCGTCAGACTTTTGCGGAGCGTTTTAATAACTTTTAATCAGCACATCCTGTAGTTTGTCCATCCATCCATTTTCTTGTGCTTATCCAGGGTCGGGTTGCGGAGGCAGCAGGCGGAGCAGGTCCTTCCAGACTTTCCTCCCCCAGCGACGCTTTCCAGGCGTTCCCAGGCGTTCCCAGGCGTTCCCAGGCCAGCCCAGAGATAGATTCCCTGCTGCTTTGCACTCGGCTGCAAACCGCTCCAGTGCGTGCTGAAGGTCCCGGTCTGATGAAACCAGCAGTATCATGTAGTTCTCAAAAAGCAGAGACGCGACCCTGAGGTCCCCAAACCGGACCCCCTCCTCACCCTGGCTGCACCTTGAGATCCTGTCCTTGAAGACCACAAACAGGATCGGGGACAAGGTGCAGCCCTGGCGGAGTCCAACACCCACTGGGAACAGGTCCGACTTATTGCTGAGAATGCGGCTGCAGCTTGCACTTTGGTTGTACAGGGACCGTGTGGCTCGTAGCAGCGAGTCTGGTACCCCGTACTCCCTCAGTGTCCCCCACAGAGTCCCTCGGGGAACACGGTCATAGGCCTTCTCCAGATCCACAAAGCACATGTGGACTGGCAGGTCGAACTCCAAATGCCCTCCTCAAGGGTAAAGAGCTGGTCCACTGTTCCACGACCAGGACGGAATCCGCATTGCTCCTCCTGAATCCGACAACTGGTCAGAGCCTCCTTTCCAGCACCCTAGAGTAGACTTTCCCGGGGAGGCTGAGAAGTGTGACACCCCAGTAGATGGAGCACACTCTCCGGTCCCCCTTTTTGAAAATGGGAACCACCACCCCAGTCTGCCCCTCCACAGGCCCTGTACCCGATGCCCACGCGACACTGAAGAGACGTGTCAGCCATGACATCCACCCCCTGGCAACGGGAAAGGACACGTTTTACACTTGTATCTGTTATTACTAACCAGCTGACTGTATTAACCTCAGATGTGCTTCGGGTTGCGTTTAGGTGTCCGTCACTTTGACCAAAGCGCATTTCTGCCACAACCGCGACGTGAACCGCGTCCGACACACGAAGGGCGGTTGTGGCTCGGGTGGTAGAGCAGGTTGTCCTCCCATCACAAGGTTGGTGGTTCCATCCCCTCCACAGTCCAAGTGTCCTTGGGCAAGACTCTGAACCTGAAGTTGCTCCAATGGCAGGCAGCAGCTTGCATGGCAGCTCTGTCGCCACTGGTGTATGAACGTGTGTGAATGGGTGAATGAGAAACAAATAAAAGTGCAATATAAGTGCGAGGGCCCGTCCAACGCTGCTTGCAGCTTTCATTTAACCTCCTTTTCTTACTTTTTCTTTTCCAGGTAAAAACCATGTCTGTAAGTTTATTGGCTGTGGGAGGAATGACAAATTCAACTACGTGGTCATGCAGCTTCAGGTGAGTCTAAATGTGATGCTTTTATTGTGAAGGATACCGATGTAGTGGTGTGTAGACAGACACAACAACGGCAGATTATTTCCTTTGCATTCAGCAGCTTCAGCTCTGATGAAACGTTGGCAAAGACGCACGGGACCAGCTCCTTTTATTTACAGAATGGCTTCATTGGCTGTTGACTCAGTCTGTCTCATGACAGACCATATGGACAGAAACACTTAGATGGCACTATTGAGATTTTCTCTTTGTAAATTAGAGTTGCAGGATGACTATATGATCTAGTCAAAATGTCAGTCCAACATTTGATCGTGTGTCAGATGTGTAACATTGCAATGAGCCACAGCTTGATGCATCACAGGTTCGGTACTCAGACCAACAGCACTGCAGTCCGACATCAGGGGACACTTGGCATCGAGCCTTGCATACCCTGACCAGTCTCAGCAGTTGTTTCAGAGCTGCAGAATGGTCTGGCTGCACCTCAGTAGCATTCTGCTAGAGGGATGCAAAACGTCTGGTTTGTTCATGGTTTGCATTTAACAACCAACAATCTGGTGCAAACTGTAAATGGCATGTAGATGAAGGGATGCTGATGTCAGCATTTCATTTTCCCCAAACGGAGCTCGACACACATGTTCTAGGAGAAGCTGGAGATCTCCTCGTTGTTATTATTGGTTTGCAAAAAGCTGAACAAATTAAAATGCTTCTGTGCCACCACAGCCTGGATCAGTTTGTCCTTATTATCACTAAATGACCGTGTGCTGCTGCAGGGTCGTAACCTGGCCGACCTGCGGAGGAGTCAGCCCAGAGGGACCTTCACCATGAGCACCACCCTGCGACTTGGGAAGCAGATCCTGGAGTCCATCGAAGCCATCCACTCAGTGGGCTTCCTGCACCGCGACATTAAACCGGTACGATGACAGTCCAAAGTCTGTGGGTAGTTCACTGTCCAGTTAGCAGTCTGTGGTAATAACAGAACATTAATTTGTCAATATTAAGATGAGAGAACCATATATAGTGTTTAGTCAGTTGCATTTATGATGTATTTACTACCCTATAAAATATAAAAAATTTAATTGTGAATTTTTTTATGTGCTTATACACGTCACAGTCCAAATTAAAATTTTAAATCTGCCGAGGCGAGATTAAAATGTTGATTGTAGACCAAATTGAAATCATCCTGATAACAAATTGAGAGTATAGGTCTGCTGAGGCAGCTTCAAAATTTGACCACACGAAATTAAAAAGCTGAATTAAATCAGAATTATAAGACTGGTTTCAGCGAGACCAAATTAAACGGTTGATGTACCCGTAGTGCTGGTACCAGTCCTGTGTGACTGTTAAACATCACGGCTCTTCAGATGAGTTGGAATGTGGCCCTCTGATGGTTTCAGCATTACACAATGTGAGTTCACACAGGGTGATGTGTGGAGATGATGTCACATCAACACCTTGCCAGGTGTGAAAACTTTTCAAGACTTTGATATGAACACTTCCTGCCAGCAGAACTTTCTGAACCACAGCGGCAGGATCACAATCTCATCATGATGTAAGAAGGATTGTAGTCTGGTCTGGGCCAGATCAGCATTTTGGTTCTGCAACATTTTAATCTCACCGAGGCAGAACCAAAACCCGCCTGGATCTCAATGTAGACTGTGACATGTATACATGCATGTGAGCAGGATGCAGACATGTATGTTGATGCACCAGCAGGGAGACACTTTCCAGCCAGCAGCAGTGTTTCATGCTCTGTTCATCGTTTTGAACCGTTTTGCTTCCACACAGTCTTTTCTTTCAGACTAGTGAACAGAAACAGGAGGCATGACTTTAAACCAGATGGAAGCAGTGAACTGGCAAAGTGTCATAATGATGTCTATGAGTTGAAATGTTGAGCTGTCAATAGTGTTGAAATGATTGTTGTGCTCCTCTAACAGCCAGAAGCCTCCAGCAGACTGGTTCCGTCTGTCTACATGTAGTTATCACCTGATGCGTTCAGTTGACAGCAGAACTGGTTTGATGGAGTCATGAACAGCGATGTTCAGTCAGTCCCTTCTTGATATGTCAGATCAGTATAACTAGAATGGAAACATGTTCCTGTTGAACCAAGAACAGAAGCAGCTTCTCATCTGGAGACGGTGGAGAGCAGCTCAGCTCTAACCTGATTAAACTAGCTGGATCTGCGGTGGTTTAGAGCAGGGGTGTCCAATCCTGGTCCTCCAGGGCCACAGTCCTGCATGTTTTAGATGTTTCCTTCTTCCAACACACCTGATTCAAATGATCAGCTCATCATCAAGCTCTGCAGAAGCCTGATAACCATCCTGATGATTTGAATCAGGTGTGTTGGAAGAAGGAAACATCTAAAACATGCAGGACTGTGGCCCTCCAGGACCAGGATTGGACACCCCTGGTTTAGAGACTGTCCTCCTGCTTTTTTATGTTGGAAACGCTCAGCATGTCTTCCTGGTCTTACTTTAATCTTCATACTCGTGAGCGTTAGTTCTAAACAGCACAGCGAGGCGATAACGACGAGCAGCAGGAGAGGATGTTGGGAGGATTCTGGAGCGTGGTGCTGAATACATATTAACATATTAACAAGCAGAGCTGGAACAAAAGCTGGAGGATAAACACTGATTAGAGTGAAGAAGAAGCAGGAAGGTCATAGTGAGACTGTCTGCTTCACCATGTTGGTCCATGTAGCTCGTTAGCATCAGGTCCCTGTCAGTCAGGGCCTCTAGTGAACATCTAGTGAACAGCAAAACCTGAAAGGCTCCGTAGCACCGGTGGCCTGGACCTCCTTGGTTAGCAGAGTGCAGCGAAGGAGTCGGACACTTTTTGGACTTTTTTGTAGATATAAAAACACTGGAGTTAGTGTAGGATTATTTGAGCTTCTGCTGTTAGAGAGTTTCATCCTAAACACGTTGCATGTGGAAAGCTCTTCATCTGCTTTCTGTGCTGTTGGACTGATAATGTGGATGAGATGTGCCGTATGCACTGACTGGATGTGTTCTGTGTGGTTCTGCAGTCCAACTTTGCGATGGGCCGGCTGCCCTCCACCTACAGGAAGTGCTACATGCTGGACTTTGGTCTGGCGCGGCAGTACACCAACACCACCGGGGAGGTCCGGCCGGTGAGTAGCCGTCAGTCTGTTCCACAGAACCAGACCGAGACTGAAGAACAACATTGAAATGGATCGACAGCAGAGAATAGTAATTAGATATCAGACCGTAATTAAACAAAGTAAATGTGACAAAACATGTCCAATGAACTAAATATAAGAGAATAAAGACGGAGAATGAATCCTTGTGAAGATGGTTTGGATCATTGTGGATGATAACAGGATATTTGCACACTAGTAGTGACTCACAGCAGTGAGATGGTCTCAGTCCAGCATGAGGATATAATCCTGATGTGTCACTTCACTAAACTATCAGATGAAAACATGTACAGTAGTTATAACACAGAACTCTGACAGTGTTTTAGATTCTTTCTTATCTTCATAACTAACTGATTGTAATTCGTAGTTGTTTCTAATGAAGTCCAGTCATGAACTATTATATCAGCACTAAATATTTATATTTATGAAGACAGATAGAGTGATGTCACACCTATAGTTTCATCATCATGAGTGTATCAGGCACATGACTACGACTGTTATTTAGTTTTTATTTTGCTTTCTTTTATTCTTTTTTCTTGTTTTGTTTTTCACGTGAGAACGGTCTCCCATCACTACACACTCACCTGATTTCTTCTGGTGTGTTTTGCAGTTCACTTTTTACTTCAGGCTACGTAGAAACTAAGCTGAATAATAAAAAGCAGCAGCAGCAGCAGCAGGCAGATGGGTGTGTTTACTGCACTGCAGCACATCACACCGACTGTACAGGCCTGATGTCCTCCACACGCTGTTTCACTGATTCACTGGAGTCAGCCACAGATCAGAGGGACTGATCTGACCACAGCCACACTGGGTCTACATGGACTAGATGGACTAGACGGACTAGATGGACTAGACGGACTAGGTGGACTAGACGGACTAGATGGACTAGAGGGTTTGAGACTTTTATTGTGATAACATGTTTGTATCAGTCATCAGTCAGTGATCAGCTCGTTGTTGGTTCACTGATCAGAGGCTGCTGCTTTTCCACTTTCTTTCTTTTCTTCTTTCTTTCGAACTCTGAGCTATTTTTAGATCAGTGAGTACCTGAGCTGCCTCCATGTACTGTCAATC